TATTTCCAATTAAGGTACTGAGTTAAATGCATTTCTAAAGTCTAAAAGAATAATATTAATACACATAATTTGTGGTATCTAGGCTGTATAGCTGGGCAAAGTTTTTACACTTTGTAATTATTATCGATTTTTTTTTAAGAATCCATTATGGTGTTCATATAAACCTCCTAGATTGCTTAGCTCTTTGGTGATGGTTTTCGCAATTATCAAGTTTCCACATATATTAAGAATGCATAGGTCGGAACATTTTGTTCATGTTTTAAAGGTTTCTCAAGGAGCAGAAACCTGGATATATTTTTAAGAAAAGCAACTGTAATTAGATTTTAGGCACTTCTGGCTACCTTGTTTTGGACTAGATCAACCAAATGCTGTTTTCTAGTCTGTTTTGCTTCATCAGGACACCTTTTAGAGTAATTACAACCCCTACAAAACTTATTACGCCATCTAAAACTTTAAAACTCTAAAAATTAAAAAAAAAATGGAAATGGACAGTAGTACTTTTAGATTAAAAGTACTATTGCCCATTTTTTAAATTTCTAGCCCAGCGATTTAAACCACGTCATTTGTATCAATTAATTAGTAACGATAATTGTTAAAATCTGTATATAATAACTAAACAAAAATCATTTCTTGAATTTCCGAACAGTTTTTATTATTTTTAGAACCTTACAACATTTAAAAGAAAAATTGATAACTCACAACTCTTTTGCAATAATTAGATGATTAGATTTATCAGTAATGTTATCTTTTTGCCATAAATATTTTCAAAAAGTAATATTTGTAAACTTCATTTTCAATTTTCAAAAAATCAATAAAAATTCATTGACACATTTTACGTGATTTGACCCCAGTGTTTTATATTATTAAACTGTTGAAGCAAACATTATAGCTAAAAAGTGGTTGGCAAGTTTTTTCTACCTTTAAGTTCATATTTTGTTTTATTATTACAAGGTTTTTTCTTTTTTACAGTTTAAAACCGTATTTTTATAAAAACCTACATTATACAATATTATATCAGTAACCAATTTCAAAAATATTACCATTAACTTTGACCCAATTTGATGTTGCCATACAAAGACAGTACCGGTTAGTAGTGCAACTTTTTTATCTAAATCGAATCTTGAAAACGGTAATTTTTCTTTAACGCATAATTTAAAACCTATTAATTTCGTATTTATGGTTTTTAGTCATTTAATTATTTTACTATAAGATGTACCAATCATCACGTAACAGGAAACGTCTAAACATCTTTCTGATCGACCGTGAACAACTGAGTACCGTTTCTAATACAACCAATCCGACCTATAACCTTACAGCCTACTTTATCTTGTAATTCCACCCATTTACGTTAAGGCAAAAACCACACATAATAACCATTTGTAAGGTATAAATGATTACAATGTTAATTATGGTTCTTCTCAACTCGCCGATATGTAATTTTGCAAAACATTGCTAAAGTACATACTTAAATTAAAATGATCTTGAAGAAAGAAAATCCTTTGTTAATAAAAATGATTTTACTGAGAAATCTATAACAAAGTGTTATATATTACATAGTATGTATTACGGTAGTGCTTATAAATTTTATAAAATAATGATACACTTCACTCTTCTGTTGATTTATTTAAAAAGTTTTTAAGAAACAATTTATTTTAAAGCACCTATATACACTCTTTCTTGTAAGAAAGTGCCTAATTTATAGTCTGGTTTACTTAGCAACTTTTAAGTCATATAAATGTACTTTGCAGTAAAATAAATATGTCTTTTTTAGTCATTCTCGACAAAAGTTTTAAATTGGATGCAGTCATAAGTGGTTTATCAACATATATATATATAAGTTTTTCTTTGTGTTTTTTAAACAAAATTGATTTTTTACACGCTTAGTTTTTTGAATTGCTACTCGTGAGTTCCACAAGATTCTAAGTACATTTTAGTAAATTTTTATGGATTGCATTAAGGCAAATATTAGTATGATTTCCTAATCCAGTGTTGCCGGATCTTCTACACGAAAATGACCGATTGATAATTTTGGTTGGACACAGTCAAAATTATCGTTTCTCTTTGCAATACTGTGCGGTGAAAGCTGACAAAAAATGCCATATAAATTTTTGTATGCATGCATACGAGAAAAAAAGCCATTAATTTCACGTTAGCAATATTAAACGATATCATCCCGTGTAGTCTTAGCAACTAATAATAATTTTACTGAAACACCAGACGGTCAATGTTTCTAAAACGTAAATGTCTTTTAAGTAGACTCTACTACAACCTAGAATTTTTTCAACATTTTCTCATAGCGACTGCTATCGTGCCCAAACTTCCTTAAAATCTACATTGAGAGAAAAGCTGCACAAAGCTAATAAATATACGTCTATTAAAAAACTTGTTGCTCATACACCCATATAGCCGGCAATATGTTTTCAGCATTTTTGTTACGGAAAGGCAACTTTAATTTCCATAAATTAATTCCCCTAATAACAGTACCCTTTGATTTAGAGTCGTAAACGAAATTCTCGTCGGAAAAAAATTTAACGGTAACCGATCAGGTCTTCTTATACGGGCAGTTTAGTATCTTATTTCCTCTGCGCGTAACAGTAATTGTATCGTTGACTTTTCGAAATCATTTTAATTAATTTATGATTCCCATCCGTTTTACCGTAAATCTGCACGCTGAACTCGCTTCGCAATTTTCGTTAATGGCCACCATAAATTCATTAAAAAATTCGACCGTTTAACTACTGCCCTAGTAGAAATTTAAATGGGGAATCAGTAGGGCGCTAGCTAGTTTTCCCCAAATGAAACGAGGGCCTCGCTAGAAATCCCTACTAGTTTCCGACTAGTCATGTAATGCTTTTCCTGGTGGGGAACTACTGGGGAAAAGCTGGTAGGGAAAACTAGCTTAAAACTGGTTGGGAATATTTGTGAATTTTTTAACCAATAATAAAAGCCAGAAGCTAAAATTTTTTTATTAGATTTATATATTTACATTATCGTTCGATCACTTTTGGAATTATTATTATCGGTTGTAAATTGATTTGGTATAACTTCTTGTGACAAGCCAAATTTGTTTGTTGCACCATGACTTGAAGTTAAATCACTATCAAGTTTTTCTGCACCATTGGAAGAATCTAACAAATAAATGGATAAATTAATACAACGGGTGAGTTTTAAGTAGAGAGGTTATTTTTAACAGCGTGTAGAAATCAAGTAGACAAACGAATACTTCAAGTATCTCAAAAATAAGAGAGAAACAGCCTTTTAAAGTATATCTGCCAATACCACACGCGCATAGTTTCAACCATCTGGTACCTACTGCGCATAGATGTCCGCCAATTCTCAATTTTGGTTTTTAAAAAATAAAGTTATTTGAAATTTCAACAAATTATGTTTGACCATTGATTTCTAGACGCCTGTTAAATATACCCCTCAACTTGAATCTCACTCAAAAAATAACCCCTTAATTTTTGCCCAAAAGTAAAAGAAGTTTTTATGAAATCTAGCTTAAGTTAAAGGTGTTTATTTAATTAAACAACCTGTATCTTCAAAACAAACATAATTCCTTAAATGTTTGTCCAAATGAAGCCTTGTAAATTAAATATACTTAAATAGTAAAATTAAAAAAAAAAACTAAGGTTAGGTTTAAACTATAAAATATCTTTACACATAAAGCAATAACTTACCGTACCGTATACGGTAAATATATTTATTTAAACTTGCCTTAATTTCATTATCGTTTACACCAACCCATCGATCTTTTATCATTATTTTAATCATATAACAAACACAGCATTTAAACGTCAAAAAATGTAAAATCAAGAAAAACGTCAAAATCCTTAGTAACCTGTAAACAAGGAGATTTTCCCTACATTTCCTTACAAGTTTATGGTGAGGAAAACTTGAGTCAGCCTAGACTGGAATTTAATGAGGAAAACTAGATGTGAACTAGTCAGTCGGAGGCGAGTCACAACTAGGCAAGTTTTACTGGATAGTTTCTAGTCGGGGCCTATTTAGTATTTCCCTTTCTAGTTTTTCCCTATCTAAACCCAGCCAGCGCCCTACCAATAGTGAGGAAAACTGGGCAAATTTCTACTAGGGTGTGTGCTTCCGTGAGAAAAGAAATACAAATTAATTGGTCGATTAGTGCATATAGTTTTGGTAGGAAGAGTAAAACTAAGAGATTTTTTAAAATTAAATTTTAATCATGTTTGATAAAACAGTACTAAACAATGCAAAAAATAGGCATATTATGAAATTTATTTATTTTTTTATTAATTTTTTTTTCAATTGTTTGCCCAGAAATTATTATGTCAAGTTAAGTTTGCCTTTTAAAAAAAATTCTTAAATATAAGTTTTTATAAGTATACTAGTATACTAGTATAGGCCCTAATATATTAGGGCCGGTTTATCAATCTCTGGTTAAATTCCAGTTGGTCTATCTGACAGTTAAATTCCATATCGATTGTTGTGAGAACAATGGTATCCATGGAAATTATCTGCCAGACATTGATAAACCGGCCCTTAGTCATTTTGGAAATATCTAGACTTTGATTGTTAAACTGTATTTATACAGTAGTATATATACTATAGTATTACATTATGAATAGTGTGTTATGTTTTGTTAAGTCTCGCAATAACTTCTTTCATAAGTAAAAATATAAATTTTATTAAAAACGTTTTAAAATATTATTTTTCAGATTATACCATGATATTAGAATACCAAAATTATATCTTAAATATAATCAGTTGATTTATAGAAATATTATTTAAGCTATTGACGGTTTATGAATGTACTAGACGTTTTTAAAAAATCTCATTTGTTTCTTTTGTGAATTCAGTATTTTCATTTATTTTTCTTAAATATTCTATTTAATTAAGTCGACCCTTAGTGTGTAGGCTTGCCAGAAATCGAAATGTGGTCGAAAAAATAACTTTAAATTTAGACATTTAATTTGAATAATTTTATAGTTTTAAATAATTATTTATTGCCTAAGCAGCAAATTATGACACATTATGGGCAATGTGTCGACACTACATACCCCTTACCTGATTTTGGAACACAAAGTCCACTTAAGACCACTAAGAGTAAAAAATAAGACCAAAGGGATAACGAAAGTTGTACCAAAATGTGTCCCACAAAATTTTTGTCAAAATTTGCCTATAATGTTCCCAGTAGTGTAACCGATTTAAGCCCAAAGGGTTTCTAATTTTTGGTTACCAAATGGTCACGATTTGTTCCGAAATTTTGCCAAAATACCGTTTTGTGTCACAAAACTATTTTTAATTATAAACAAATTGGATACCAACTACATAGATACAATTAAGATCCTTGCAACGAAGCGCATAATGTTTTATTTATATTTATACATATAGGTATATAATAATATGAAATATGTATACTTTACAACGTAAATTGAACATTTTAATTTAATTTTTATTTCGTACCAAATTTCATTGATGGTTATAAATACTTTTAAAAATCGATTGGCCTCAAAAATAATAAGTAATTTTTAATATTTATATATTTTTTTCTTATATTTTCATCAAAACATTTTTTATTTTATTTTAATATTAACCCTTTAGTATGCACCTCCACCGTGCTCATAACACATTATTTTCACTTTCACTTTGAAAAACTGCTTTTATATAAAAACAGTTGTCCATTTTCAAGGGATAAATTTCGATTTACTCATAAAAAGTTTGATTTTGATCGACGCGCCGGTAATACAGATTTTTTAAAGATGTTGTTGTACACATTTAATTTAAATCATTTTTAGAAAATAAAAAGTATTTGACGTAGAAAAAGTATGTTATGCAACTTGTTTATAAAATTTTCTTGACATTAAATTAAATTCGTGACGAAAATGGCGTTTATCAAACTTGATACATAATATACTATTATCCACTCCTATATTGACGAGCTGTGACTGTATGGCGTTTTAGTCACTGGCTGAAGTAAGCAATATCGGCTTTTGGAAATTTTAGTCAGCTTTTTTATAAATTAGAGAAAAGAGAGGTAAATTCCGTTGACATTTGACAGGTGTCAAATGTTTAACAAATAAAATTGGCTTTAAATTCTTCTTTGTGTTCGTCGTAGATAAAGTACCTATAGTATGCAACTCCTTTTATAAACTTATCTACATAGATACTCGTTTTTATTACACACTCATGCCTAATAAAACTCGTAACTAAAATGGCGTTTATAAAACTTGATACATAATATACTATTATAATAACATGAGTAATAAAGTGCCTAGAATTTGAAATATTTTTAATTTACGAATTAATAACAATTAAGCTAAAAAATTAATAAAATAATTATATTTTCTAAAAAACAAAAATAACCAAACAATTAATTAATTATACTGTTTCAGTCTAGTTAATAATTAACTATAGTAACGAACTATTAATTTGAACATTAAATCTAATGTATTCATGTATTTTTAGTTTTACAACCAACTCTACTAAACATGGAATCCTGGCTGGTGGATGTGAAACGCGTGAGGATCCCAAGACCAAAATTTGGAAGCGGCAACCGATGCTACCCTGCTGAACCCCCAAAAGACTATCTTTACGACGAAAGACCTGAAGAACTCAAATTTAAGACAAACATGGTTAAGGTCACCGAAGACCTCAGAAGGGCCTTTCAAGAAAAGCTGTGACAGACATAACCTTACTCTTTAATTTTACTCTATTTAACTATATGTGTTTTACGATGGTGGGTTTTTAATTTTTATTATAAATTATATAAAAAGCTTTAATTTAGCAAGATAAACTCGCCATTGTATTATGTTTTATATTTTATTTTAGTTCTAGTTTATTTAGTTTGTACTATGTATATAACTGTGATATTCATTTAATACAAATAATTAATTACTTAAACCCCCTCTATAAAGGTGTTTGTCTTTAGTAATATTTTTGTTATTTTTTAATAAATAATGTAAAAATATTTATGATGCTTTAATTTAACACAGAACACCTACTAAAAAAATAACGAAATGATTGCACAATAGCTCAAAAAATCTATATATTATAACGAAAATAAAGTCGTTGTACACAAAAGTTTTATAATTAAAGTTCGAGGTTAAGTAATAAAATTAATTGATTTAAAAAAGATAAAACAAACTTTTTTGGTATTAATATTAAACAGATGGCTTCAATTTGTTTCCTATTTCCCTGACAAAATTTGAATTTAAAATACCTATATTCAAATTCTTTGCTTTCTATAATACACTTTATAAGTAGGTAGGATTAATTATTATTCTCCAGGAATCTTTCTAGTATTATCAAATTTAAATTTTAAAATGCCGTATCGTTTTACTAATGAAAAAACAATTAATTATATTTTTACAAATGGGAAACTGTTGTTCACAAAATATATTTATTATTTTGCATTATATATTGTTTTTTTCCGCATATAATAATTATATTATATATTATATATTATTAGTGTCCCGAAAATATTGTGCAATACGATACAAGCAGTTTTTAGGGCCGAAAATGGGAAGAAAACTATATTTCAACAAAGGTTGGGAAATGTATTTTTTTTAAGTTTATATACAGATATATCTTTCATCAGTATTTTAAAATGAACAGCAAAAGGTGAAATGAAATAAACGCTCAAATAAACAAAAATACATAAAAATATACTCAAATCAGCAATAAATCAATTTGTAAAAAAATTAGCTTTTGCATATTATAATGTTTGTATTTTCTATAAAATTAAAAATAATTTCTGAAGGGTCTTAAGAATTGTTGACAGTTTCATTAAATTTTAAATAAATTTGTATCAAACGGACGTAGAACACATCTCTTTAAAATGTAATCCGTGGGTTTTAAGCCATAATTATAAATAAAACGCCTTCGCTTTAATTCAAACATCTCACAATAAATTCGTTATCGGCTTAAGTATCGTGTCTAAATGAATGGTGGAAATGTAAAGACGGCTTTTCTATTAAAGGCATTTATAAGAAAATTTAATGATAATTTTTTGGAGAACGTCTTTTTATATAAAATTAATTAATAAGAAAATACATACAGAAGATAAATTGAATAGATATGGAGGAAATTGCTGTCATTAATTAAGGTTTAATGAATTAATTAATATATTTTTTGGGGAGTTATTCTCTACATCATAATGACTTTTTCGTTAATTTTTGTTTGTTGTTAATGATGCTTTAGAAAAATACAAACTACTATTTTTTTGCAAAAAATAATCATTTTATATTATATTATTTTTTTAGCCTTGCGGCAACTTTAATTTCGAATTTGAAATTTTTTTCTGAAAGCTTAGAATTTTTACATAAAAAATGTTATTTTTACAATGGGGTTATTTTTTGTTTGTGCAAAATAGTTTATTATGTATCGAGTTTGATAAATGCCATCTTAATAAAGAATTATCTAGGTCCAAAGATATACAATGAACTACCTTAAAATATAAAAAAATTATTTGCTCAGTAAATCTTAAAAAAAAATGTGCAGAAACTATATAACGCAGATTCCTGGAGAATTTTCAAATAAGCAAATAGATCTAAAGAATTTTAAATTTTTATTCAGAATTTTAAATTTATAAGATTTTAACCACTTACCTGAATTGCGTGTATTGTTATTTTTCGTAATGTATTAAATACAGAAATATATACAGATTTTAGGCACCTTAATTTTAAGATTACTTAATTAGGTTAATATTTTATTGTGGTCTTGTCAGAAGCTTGTGATTATTTATATGTTTATATTTGGAATAATAACTACTTTTTATATAGTGTTGATTTATTTTTGGATTGTTTATTTATTTTTATTTTTATATACACACACAAATGTTTTTACATTTAAGTGTATTTAGCATATTTATCGAACTTTTTTATAATATAATTGTTAAATTGCGAATTTGTAAATTTGTTGAAGGGTCTTTCGTTACGTATAATAAAGAATGAATATTTTCATTAAAAAACTCAGAATTTTTTACAAAAAAAAAACAGTTTTGTTTGTATTTTTGTAAAACATTATTTACATCCAACAAAAAATAACAAAAAAGCTAAAAAAAAATATTGTCAAATTTCTAAATTATTAATACGAAAGTACTTAATATTAAGGGCTTATATCTTTAGTGGGTCATACATTTGATGTAAAGAATAAACATTTTTTTACAAAATTCTCGGTGATCACAACATTTTTTATGTGGAATGACACATATATTAACCATATATATATTATACAGGGTTCCCCGTAATAGACTACCCATTTTATTTTATTAATAAATTCCCTACGAGATAACTAAATAAGTTGTTCTCTATGGAAATATCTTCTATAGTCTTTGGGATTTAAGTTAATTATGAATCAAGTAGGCGCCTGTCACAAATAAGTTTTAAATTAATAATTTCCTGGAACGTCATTTTTTCAACGAGAAGTTTGTTAGTTTTCATCAATAATTATTTAAATTATTTAATTTTTTTTGCTTTGAACTTTCATGGATTACTCAGTCCAACAACGTGTGTTTTGTGTAGAAACCCTCATAAGAAGCAATTCGATAGAAGAAGTAAGGCGTACATTCCGGCGTCAGTTTAATAACAACAATAGGGGTCACGCGCCAAATCGTAAAACTGTTAAGTTATGGGTTCGTCATTGGCGTGAAAATGGTTCTGTACAAAATTTGAAGAAGCCTGGACGTCGAAGAACAGTTCGTACACCAGAAAATATTGAACGAGCTAGAATTGCGTTTACGACTTTACCACTTTTTATCTAATATTGAAAAATGTGTTGAAGTTGGTGGAGGTCATTTAGAAGACGTGATTTTTAAAAGTTAGAATTAAATTAGCCAAATATTTATAAGTTATCATAAATCCCAAAGAGTTAGCTGTAATTTAGTATAATAAAAAGTTTGTTTTGTTAACTAAAAAAATTTTAATTCAAATGTTAAAATGGGTAGCCTATTATGGGGAACCCTGTATATAGTATACATAAATTAAGATGCTTATTATTTATTATAATTAAGTAAAAAAACTTACGGAATCTGGATAATCAGGTTGATGAAGTGCAGTTTGGCTTCCGGATCTCGATTCACCCGGACTTGAATGTCTTCTACTTCTAGAACCTGGAGGATTGTCTTCATCGCCACTTACGTACTCCTAAACAAATTTATTGTTATTAGCAAGAATCATTTTAATGGCTAAATAAACTTAAAAAATAAAGCAAAAGAAATTCTGGTAAATGATCTTGTATAGCATAAAAAACTGTAACTTAGAAATACACATTTTCTACATGGTTCATTTACTTTATTTTAAAATATCGTTTTTCGTTTTTTCATTGTGTAAGGTTTTTATCTGTTCTGTGAGTATTTAAAGTACTCCACATCTCCAAGACTAGGATTGAAGATCATTTGCATGATGCATTGCAAAATAGTTTTGGACTGGAGCAATCAAATGTTGTTCGGTGCCCTGAATTTGAATCTGTGATCGGTTTTGCACCACAGATCGGGTTTTCGAGAAATTCCAACACAAAAGTGTGTTCTTTTTTAATGTTTAAGGTTAAAATTGATTGAGTTATATTTTAGTAATAGAGCCACTGTAGAGTTAGAATTTTAGCTATCGGGATACCTGGCGCTACTGTGTATAATTTATAAAATACAGTTTTTACACCATCAAAAAAACTAAATAACTAAAAGCAAAATAGTATCAAGCAAACTCTAGATTCTAAAAGGTAAAGAAAAAAATAGGTTTTAACAGAAGTGCAAGGGATCATGATAGAGATATGTCGGTGCCAGTGCTCTAAAAAAGCAAAACGAACTTGTCATCGTTCCAAAAACTAAAAATCACGGTGGATTTTATTTCATGGTCCAGGAACGGTGCCCTGCGGTTCGCTTTGCGACTCTACAAGCCTACCGAGATTAGAGATAAGAAAAAAGAAGACAGGATGAAAACACAATGTCAGTCAAAGTCAGTGGTCACCTGATTGCGGTGATCTACGTCGTTTATTTTGGATTTATCCGTGGCACTTGGTGGACGAGTTCTAGAAACGCGAAACAACTCTTTTATATCACGTTGTGGCGATAAAAGCAATCAAAGTCCATTTTTCATTTAACGGAGCCAAGTGCGGAATAGCCGATGAGTTAAAAAAATTATTTCGGGTACGTGTTACAAACAAAATTTTTATATTAAAGGTTCCTAAAACCACAATCCACACATAGGTACTTAAAATCACAAAGTTATAACCTATAACTTATAGCCTATAGGCCAAATGCACAAACTCTAACGGCGGACATTTTTATGTTGTTTACAATTCTTGTGCATTGGGTTTATGGTGTCTATACAGATTAATAATCGATTTAAACGTTGTGTTTCTTACAAACTAATTTGTAAGCCTTAAAGGAGGCCCTAAAGTGCCAAGGGCAATCATTTTACTCCTCTTTTGGTAAAAATAAACCTTATTCTATCAGGGCTGTCATCACTGTTAAATTTAAATTTTAAGGTTAACACAGATTATAAATTTAATTGTATAATCCATTTTAGCAGTGGGATTTTAATATTGTAAATAAAATTAAATTAGGCACTTCCCTGCTGTAAAATTTTTTTTAATAACCGACCGGTTTAGATGCCGTAAGGCGAAACCGGTCGGTTATTAAAATAAAATAAAAAAAAATTTACAGCAGGGAAGTGCCTAATTTAATTTTATTTACAGATTATAAAGGTTATGAAGGTTAATTTTTGGGTATGGTTGATTACAGCTCTGATAGAATAAGGTTTATTTTTTACAAAAGAGAAGTAAAATTGTTGTCCTTGGCCCTTTAAGGCCTCATTGAGGCTTACAAGTGCCTTTGCAATAAACGCAACGTTTAAAAGGATTTTTAATCTGTATAAACAGCACAAACCCAAAGCACAATAATTGTAAAAAACATTAAAATGGCCGCCGTTAGAGTCTGTGCCGGTTGCCTAACTTCGTGATTTTTAGTACGTTGTGTGACCATAGTAACAAGATTGTTAAATGTAAACAAAAAAATGTTTTTCTACAACAACTATGTAAAAGTCACATTTCATATTGGCATCGTTGCTTAGAAAATTAATCTTTTCATTGGCAAGGCAAAACACGAATGTAAAGTGACATTTCTGTGTGAAAAGTGACAGGTCTGTGTAAAAAGAAATTGACAGCATCGTTTGACATTCGTTTCAAAATTTGTATATGTATGTCTAAAGATCATTTAGAACACAATTAATTGTGTTTTTATAATAAATTCTAATTTGTAGTGCCTTTATTTAAAATGGGAAGGTAAGTTTATTGATTTTAAGTAACTTATATCTTAAAAATTAAAATGTGATTTTTAGTATGTTGTGTGACCATAGTAACAAGATTGTTTAATGTAAACAAAACAAAATTTTTCCTACGACCACTATATAAAAGTCACATTTCATATTGGCATCGTTGCTTAGAAAATTAATCTTTTCATTGGCATGACAAAACACGAATGTAAAGTGACATTTCTGTGTGAAAAGTGACAGGTCTGTGTGAAAAGAAATTGACAGCATCGTTTGACATTCGTTTCAAAATTTGTATATGTATGTCTTAAGATCATTTAGAACACAATTAATTGTGTTTGTATAATAAATTCTAATTTTTAGTGCCTTTATTTAAATTGGGAAGGTAAGTTTATTGATTTTAAGTAACTTGTATCTTAAAAATTAAAAGAATAAGATGAAAGTAAATTTAACAGCTGTCAAACACTTTTTAGGTTATTTTGTTTTGTATTTGAAAATAATAAAAAATAAAAGTGTCGTAGAAAAACCATTGTGTTTCACTTGTGAGAAAAGCTTTCTTCAAGCTCGTGTTAATGCACACTCGGCCTGACGGCCTCATGAGCAACTTAAACACTCGCATGAAAAGTCGCTTTTCAACATTTTTAAAATAAATAACTATTGTACGGTATAAAATGCAGAGTCAAGAAATTATATCTGAAAAAAATTGTTTTTTTACTTTCAGGCAAATCTCATGAAATTTATAGAAAGGAATATGAAGCATTAATTCGATGAAAAGAAATGAACAACATTGTTATTTCTAAAAATACAAGATATTGTTCAAAAAGACGCTCGATGTCTCCTAACAATTTTCTATACAAAGACCCGTGGTATTTGCAGCTGAAGCTGTTAATCCTATGGAAGTGTACCAGAAATATGTTCGACCACATATATTTTAAACACGGTTTATTTTTTTATTTACTACCTTAAGGATAAATGTACAGTACAACGTGTTCTTTTGGGAAAATGCCCTCAATCGTTGCTGAATTTCTTAAAGTACCGAACCCGACAGAGTATACAGGGCATTGCTTCGGGAGAAATGCTGCGTCTTTGTGGCAGATGCTGATTTAATCTTGTTGAAACCTCTAGGGGGATGAAAGCAAGTTTTAAATATTTAATTTTTATATTTGCCGCCATTTTTGTAGAAGCTTTGACGTCATCGGCCATTTTTTTAAATTGTACCCTCTTTTTTTTGCAGATTTGAATAGTTTATGAAATTCTAAATCCAGCAATATGCACCTTTTGGTATGATAGTTTTGGGTATTAAATTAAAAAGTTCGTGATATACAAAAATTTTTTTTCTAAAAAAAAATTCATTTTAATTTCGTTTTTAACCATTCTTCATTCTTATGTCTAAAGTTTTGTAAACACCGGTGAGATGTCAATTATTTCGTTTTAAATTTATATAAAAAGTTTTATTTAGTTTTGTCCATAATAAGTTTGAATTGATTTTCATCTAAATTTGGAAACGTATCTTTTAAATTTCCATAAAAAATGGGGACGTCTTTTTCACTATTTAAAAATAGGTCTGTTAAAAACGCGAATCAATCTCAAAATGTAATTTATTTATTAAAGCAGGTATGAAAAGGATAATTATTGCATTAAGTACATTTTGTTTATAATAATAATTTTTTAAATTTTGAATATAATTAAAGGAGTTTTAATTACCTAATAATGTTTTTTAAAGCAGGTATGAAAAGGATTAATAATAATTACATTAATTACATTTTGTTTATAACAATTAATTTTTAATTTTAAATATAAATTTGAATTATAGTTAAACAAATTATACTTGATATTCAAAATTTAAAAATTTAATGTTATATACAAAAAGTAATGTAATAATAATATTATTTATAAATAATGTAGAAGTAATGTAATAATAATATTACTTATAAACAATGTACATTTTATTTAAAAACATATATGTTTTTAAATAAAATGTACATTGTGCATAGGTACAAATCTTTACGAGTCGAGTGAGGAATTAACACTTAAACTTTTTATTATGCACTTTTATGCACCTTTTTGATATGCTTATAAAGGAAAGCTTACTGAACAATTTGGCATAGAGAACACCCTGTAAATCGTAGTAAATCGCGGTAATTTGTCTATTTAAAAAATATATTTGAAAATATATTATAAATCTTAAATTTACCAATGTGTCTTTAAAACGTTATAACTTTTCGTTGGATTTAATTTACTATTAAAATTGTAATTATTTAATAGATAAAGAGTTACTTTAAACATATATTCAAAAAAATATATAGTCGTTTAAAAAATATAACGCATTATATGTAAGCGTAATTTTTAGCCAAATTTCCGGTTTTAAAAACAGAGTTCATAAAGAAGTTCAACAGAATTTATATTTATAAATTGGGTATAACCAAAACCAAATGGTTTAAGGTGTTTTTAACCAATTGACGTCATAAAATTACCAAAATAAAAACTTTTAAAAATGTATTTTTTTTCCGCCGATTGACCAAAACATTTAGTAAATTATAAATAAGTAAATTGCTTTTATTATAATTTCAGAAATACGGTGGCCCAGCTTAAATACTTAAATAGTATTTAAAATACATGTTCTTTTGAAATTCTTAAAACACTTACTTTTGACTTAAATCATTTCTTATAAATAACTTTATGTGCCTTCCACAATATTTGTTTAAATAGTTTTTTTAAATATTTCCGCTAAAAGAGAAACGGACTTTGATTGTGTTGTTTTACATATTTATCAGCCACTTATTATTACTAAATAGCAAACATTGTTTGGTATGTCTTGATTCTATTGTTCTCACCTTTGCGACTTTTCGTTTATAGCCATTCCCAGACCGGAGTCTTCGCTAGGAGAACGATAAGCATCCTCATTATAAATGCTAATACCGGGAGGAGCCTGGTCCACAGGACCAAATTCCTGCAACCACATTACCATTATTTTTAGTCCAGCCGTACTTTTAAATTTACATTAAATCTAATACCGATATAAAAATTCCGATGTAGCTTTACCCTGCCTAAATACATTATAATGACAAAAGGAAGAATTCATAACTCGCTAATACATAAACATGCAACAATATACAAGACAAATTTTCGTAAGAAATTGAAGCTACAAAGTTGGCTATATTAACAAATAAGTGGCATTTTTTCTAATTAAAATGGTTTAAACAATTGAACGTCGGATTTCCGAAATATTCATAAAATAACATTTTTGGGACACCCAGTATATTTTTTCATATTTTTAAAAACAATTTAATTTGAAACAAATATTTATTATTGCCCACTCACCCCTAATTAAAAAAATAAACAATTAATAAGCACTTGCTTGTTAAAATAAATGTATAGGTAGGTACATTTTTTATATTGAAAATTAGGGTGTCTCATTTCTGAGCAACTTTTTTTTCAACTAAAAAACAGGCTAAAAACTTTCAGGAAGGTGAAAAAAGAAGCCTCTAAAAATTTGAGCTCTTAATAATAACATTAAGTGGTGCCTGTTCCTAATAATTTTGTATCTTGACATTTAAGCATTGTAAAAACGAACTGAAAAATTATTTTACGCTCTACAAAAAAGTACTAATTTACTTTTTCATAGAGTAAGCCGTCCTGAAGGTATTCAAACTTGCAAATGTATGAAATTATGACTTTTATTTTATTAAACTAATACTTTTTTTATGTCTTAAAAATTATTTTAAGAAAAAGTAATTATTTTCGTATAGAAAGAAAACAACACTTACATCTCAATTTTTTCCATTTTATTTTATTTTTCTATCAAAAAAAGTTATTTGTGTTCAATAAATTTGTTCAATAATTATAATAGATTAAATAAAACAATGAATTTGTTATTTTATTGAATTTTTAATCTTTCTAATATTAAATATTAATAATTATAATATATTTTTTATAATTAATTTTAAAGTCGATAACTCTGATTAAAGATTATATCAGCTCAGTCGGTATATTACCGTTCGGATTACACAGTGACTAGAGGCACGTTAACGTGCCGCGATTCGAAATGTTAAAGGCAAATTTAAGTTTGAATACCTTCAGAACAGCTCACTCTATGAAAAAATATATTGAAACTTTTTTGTAGAGCGTTCAATTTCCTACCAAAATATTTTTTCAGTTCGTTTTTACAATGCTCAAATGTCAAGCTACAAAAAATAAGAAAAAAGAAATTTTTTTTTTTATGTTATTTAAATGGAAAATGGAAAGTTAGGAACTGACACCATTAATGTTAATATTAAGAGCTCAAATTTTTAGAGGTTTCTTTTTTCACCTTCCTGACAGTTTTTAGGTCTGTGGTTTTTAGCCTGTTTTTAGTTGAAAAAAAAGTTGCTAAAAATGACACACCCTATTGAAAATAGGAAAAAGTAATTTAAACGAAAGTAACTATTATTATTATTATTATTAATTGTTTAAGCGAAATTGATAACAAGATTTTTGATCCCTAAAATTTACTACTTACCAGATTCGGAAACTTTAGGCACAACATAAATGCTGTGCTTTAGGTATGGTGTTCCGTTGGACCCACCAAAGATAATACATTATTATTATTATTATTATTATTATTATTATTATTATTAGTAGTATTATCTTTGGGACCTACTACACAACATCGGAATGTCGGTAATATATTTAATGTAAATATTTATTCATACCGTTTGACTGGACTATTTTTATTGCGTTTTTCTAGCTAATTCTTTATTTTAATATTTTATGTATTTTAAAGAATTTATTTAAATGGTAATTTTACTTTATTTTTATAGATGATCTATTTTCTCTATATTTAAGTAGGTTATAGTACTTATTTTAAATTTTAATTTTATCGAAGTTATTTATTTAGATTGGTTTTTAGTTTAGTTTGGTTAATAATGCATCAAGCACCACATATATCTATCAATTTTTATGCGTTAACAACTTATTTATATTTAGTCACATACAACACAAAACTAACCTCGTAACCAGAATATATTGAATGGTTTGCGTCTGGAATTTGGACTCCTTTTCTCTGAAAAAAAGAACCACATAAATATTTTATTATTTTCGCTAAAAACAGTGTACAGTGTGATTCTCACTTATGGAATAAAATTCGTTATTCGATAAGAAAAGATTTTTATGAAAAACGCTCGGACACGTAAACTTTAGTTTTTATTTCAAATCTTATAATTATAATTTTAAATATTATTTATCTTAAACAACAAACCCCATTTTTTTCATAGAAAATTGATGGTGTACACATTTTTCCAAGTAGGTATAAGTAGGGTTTAGTAAACACAGTTTTTTTTACAGGGTAAAAGTAATGACAGATTTTAAAAACTAAACTTTTTATTTTAAAATTAATTAATAATTCAAATATAAACTGTTCTTTAATCTTATAAATGTTCAACTTCCTGATACTTAAGTATACTATATTATAATATACTGTAAAATTGTTAGATCTAGTGATCTTGCTGACCATTCTATTAAACTCTTCTTTTGATCCACCTGTGTGGAAAGGTGTTATTTAAATAATACCATACAGGAAGAGCATAGTGGAGTGGTGAACCGTCTTGTTGAAGCTATATCCTTTCATTAGAAAAATTAGGTTTCAATGGATTTGGAAACAACTTTGCTAAAGTTGTTTTCTTAGCATTTCCAGATATTTTTCCCCTTTAAGATTTTTAATGATAACACTAGTTTACAGCCATTTTGTCCACCATGTCTCACTATGATTTTCTTGTCCCAGACCCAATACAAATGTTATGTTAAAATCACCCTTCTACACAATGCTCTCAAGCTTTAATTCAATTAGCCATATATGTGATATTAACAACATTTCACTAAATAGCTTAATAAAGATTGCAAAAGAATTTTTTAATTAGTATTTTGTACTTCTGATATTTATGATATTAATCAATTTTAAAGATGTTATATTTTGAAATAATTTTAAGAAGTTATATTTTGAGATATTTATACATTGTTGTAAATTTATATTTTGTCCTTAAATTGGAATGTAATTCTGTTGGGCAATAAAGTTGAATTTTCAATTGTTTTTTTTTTAATTTTCTGCTACTTCGAGTTCTAACAAGCCCTTAAATCAAATGTAATTGAGCCCTCTACAACTTTCTCTTGTATAGTTTTGGTATCAGCTCAGTATGATTTTATGAAGTTGAAAAAGTCCTTTTTTTACAAACATCGAGGTCGAAAGGACGAGGGACCAAATGCAATCACCCATCATGGCTGCATCCCAGAAGCCGTGATACCGCCGCTCCATAGTCTTCATTTGCTGGTGAAAACGTTCTCCGTGCTCATCACTTACGTCGCCCAAATTGTGTGGGTTATTTACGCACTTGAACTCTCTACTTCTTTTACTCATTTTACACTTTTTATTAACTAAATAAAACCATGATAAAAATACCTTCAAAGTCGTCAAAAATGACAACTTTTAAGCAAAATAATCAAAAAGGGGTAATTTTCACCGACTTTGAAGCGCTGTATCTTCGTTACTGTTTGTCTTTTAGGCATATTTTGTTTTTTCTTAAAAAATCCCTGAAACTTATTTTTCGAACGTTTTTTTATTATCACAAACATTTTCTCGAAAAATCCTCGAACACGTAAACTGAGATATAAGTTAAAGTATTTTTATACAAAATTTCAAAATTAATAAAGGCGTTTTAGAGTTAGAATTTTTTACTTATTATGCGTTAATTTTGACGCCCAGTGTAATGCAGCTAAACTTTGTTTTAATAAAAATTTAATCTTCTGTATTTGTTTTAATAAAGTTGTAAACAATCTATAATAATACATGCAGTAATGGCCAAAATTAATATATGACTGCTCTCTAACAGATTCGTTTAAATCCGAAATATACACCTTTTAGCTTTAAATAAAATACGACTATGTCCAATACGATTTATAGCATCGCCCTATCATAAATAGGACTTAAGCGACTGGGTAGCTAGGTACTATATATATATATATATAATCTTGCTGACAACAATATTTCGTGATAAAACCAGAATTCACATTATGACGAACTGTGGTAACCATTAACGAATTTTAATATCGCATTTATAATTTTATTCGGAGTTTTCTCCTATTTAAATAATGATAAAGTGTCAGTTTTAATATAATAAATTTCAAAGGCATTTAGTTTTATAAATTAGGTGCAAGGCAATTTTCAAGTGGGCTAATGCATTTAAAACTTTTTGCTTTATAATATAACTCACCTGTATACAATCAGTTTATAGAGCTTTATACATATTATTATATAATCAGAGTCGCTATTTATTTATAAAAATTATAACATTTTTATTGCTATTTTTTATTATTAAAAGTTTAAGATTAACTAATTTAATTATTTAGGTTCAATAAAATTGCTGGGTAGATATACATATTCAAATTTTAAGTAAAGTTTCTTGTTGAGATTTTGAATAAGAGCCAAGAAACCTTTTATGAATACTCCACTCTACATGACTGGGTTTGCAAAAGTATAATTTTATTTACATGATTCAAATATTGTTCCAAATAAAAACCATTTCAAATTTAAATCTTCTTAGGCTAATACACTTAAAAGGGTAACAAAACGATAAAAAGTTTTTAAATGATGTGCTTAAAGTTTGAATTAAGCAGAGCACAAAAAGACCTGGCATACTAAAATGATACATAAAATGAACAATAATTATTATTATTATTAAAGGAATAAAGTGAGGTTAAAACCTTTTTTTGGATTTTTGTAACATTAAAAAAAATCTGAGAAACGTTCAAATCTGACATTTATGACAGGTACATTTACCCCCATATCTCGGCCAAGTGCCACTAGCGAAAAGAGAACAAACTAATTACTAGCCTCATAATAGTATATTATGTATCAAGTTTGATAAACGCCATTTTATACACGAATTAATTTAGGCACGAGTGAGCTTGTGAGGGAGTGCTTAAATTAATGAGTGTATAGAAAAGTTTATAAACGAGCTGCATACTATACTTTTTCTACGGCAAATACTTATTATTATCTTAAAATGATTTAAATCAAAAATTTGTATAGAGCGCCATCTATGAAACAATAGGGGAATCTGTGTGTCACGGTTAAATGTCAAAGTTTTATATTTTATAAAGGTTATAAATCGAAATGTATTTCTTGAAAATGTACAGTTTTTCATAGTGAAAGTAAAGAAAATGTTTTATGAGCACTTTACAGTGGAGTCCGTGCCCGAATTTAAGTTATAGTTTACTGCCGGCGAAACGCCACAGTATGTCAATGTGTATTTAAAAGGTCACTTACCCAGATAGCACAAAGAAGTACTAAAAACGTCCTGAGTATATCTTGTATCAGACATTAGTAAGTTCCGAGTACGTCCGAATCAGGTCCTGAACCTTCCCCAGGACGTTCCAGGGACATCCGATGTTACCAAATCGTCGGTCCCCAGAACGTCCTAAGAAAGACATCCTCTGGCCATCCTGAAATGCTTTATTGGGGACTAATGGACAAGCTTTACAGAATTGAAGAGTGGTATTCCCAAAGGCCCAGACAGCAATATGACGTCTTAATTAAGACTTATTTTATTAATTTGTTAAATGGATTTTATTAAAATCATTTTAATAATTTGTTCGTATTCGCTTATTTTAGGAATTGCGATTACTTCGTCCCACTTTTGTTTAAATTTAAGCGTGCTCTTCACCGGCACCGATAGACGGCCTGTTACCCTCTTTTGGAGCTCGTCAGTATCGGGTAGCCGTTTACCTAGGTCTAAGACCGTTTGGTATGAAGCACGTTCTAAATTCTACTTCGCCGCTTCTTATATCAAACACAAGCAGTTACAGCGGTGAGAAGAAAGAATCGCATTAAAATGTCATAAATGTGACGTCTCCATGATGACGTCTTAAAAAGTTAATAATATGTACAAAAAAACTCATACAGCTATATTGTGGCTGTGTGAATAAAACTTTTCCGTCAATGTCAAGCTGACATCGAGCTTTGTCACATCCATTATGACTTTTTTAACATTTTTAACCAAACAATGCATACGAACTCTGGCAAGCCATTGAAGCCATTTGGAACGAGATAAAGCAAGACGGCGACTTCCATGCTTTGCCGTTTGCGGGCAGTAATTGACAAAAACAGAGGGATGACGAAATATTAATTTTTTTTCAAACTTCAACCTAACTTTGTATTTAATTTTAGACCTTTCAAATGTGACGTATCATGTTAAAAGCCATAATTACTCCAACGAAATGATGAAAATCAGGAACACTAGATTTTTAAGCTGTATGAGTTTTTTTTGTTAGCGATAGTACGTCCTTGGGACGTACCCAGTATATCCGCTATAATTTTCCCAAATAAGTAAGAGACTGGACGTACCCAAAACTTCCGATATAGGTCTAGGACGTTCGGACCTATGTGGGACCCGAAATGGACGTCCTGGGTACCTCTTGTGCTATCTGGGTAGTGTCATAAAAACATGTACAATAAAGGGCGTTTTAAAGGTGGGAGTAGAAAAGAGTTTTTATGTGCATATGCCATAATCCGAGCCATAATCAATTACTTCAGTTTCGAAAATAAAGTTTAATTTATAGACCGCTTGAAGATAAAATTATTTTAATTTTAAATTAAGTTATCAAGTTGATATACTGATTATAAATATACAAAATTATGTCACTGCGGCTAAGCATGAGTTCGAACGATGTAAAATTGATACCGCAACGTCATCAGCCATGGATTGCCCACCGTTGTTGCGGTATCAAACACACAGCCTTTGAAATCTATTAGTCAAGGGCATTTTAATAGTATATTATAACACAGGTGTATTAAACAGACTTTATCGCATTAGCGACAAAAATTACAAGCACGAACTTGCAAGTGCTTGTAACGGCCCATATATACCGATACTAAAACTAATACATAATAATAATGCACTATTTTTATTATTGCAAGTTTCCCTATAAAAGACAAAACACCTAGCTATTTTAAAATAATAAAAAGCAAGCGTTCGATTTTGGATGCAGTTTTTGGCAAAAATGTGTTTTTTGTTTACTATCAGAAAATTGCAATAAATATTACATTATTATTATTAGTTTTATTATTATTATTAATATTATTATTATTTTTGCCACGACTTTATAGCACTTGAACCTTAAAGACGGTTTTATGAATGATTTTTATTGATACTGTTAAAAAAATTAAAATCCAAGTGTTAATCTTAAACAGTGTAGCATGAACCTTTCACATAATTGTTTTTATATTTTACTTACCCTCGAATGCCTATAATCGTGTTCTCTAGGATCTCTAATTCTTGATTCAATATCTCTTCTATAAACTAATTCGTCGAATTTAACTCGATCATCGATTGCTACTATTTCCCTTAATTCGGTCATAAGAGTATACTGAAATAAAGAAACAAAAATACATTTACAACAACAGTATATTATGCAACGAGTGAAGAAAATGGTCGATTATGAATGAGCAATCATGCGAAGTGAGCGTGGCAAGAAAATAAGTAATGTCGTGGCATTTTTAACTCAATTTATAACAGGTTTCTTTAAAAACTAACAAATCACATGACAGTTTGATATAAATAAAGCATACTTGAGGCCTGTCAGAGTAAAGTCAACAATCTCCCGTCAGACTAAAACTGAGTAAATTGATTTAAATGATTTTGGTATTTTAAATTCTAGATTTGTAATTTTTTTATATATTATAATATATATATTGAAATATTGTTGTTGTTGGTCTAGTAGCAAACTACAAGGTCTCCAGGATGCATAGTATAGGTGAAATCTATAATTATAAATTGGAGATTGCTGACTTTGATATGAATTGCTGGAGATTACTCATTTTGTTGTAAACGTTTAAGGAGATTTAGAAAAATAAACAAAAAAATAATTGTATTTTTTTCCTTTAATGGTTATAAAATTTAACTATACAATCAATGTGGGAAAATTCTGAACTGGACCACATAAATCTGGAGTTTCTTCTAAATCTGGGACCAGGTTGCCTCGTGCAAAAAAGTTTTTATAGTACAACAACTCATCATCTTCTTCCCACTTTGCCCCGTAATGTTTTACTTGCAATGTTTTGACATTATCAGCCTTTTCTTGCTTTACCTTTACGTCTTATTATGGTATAATAGCACAAAAAAAGATAACATTTTTTTATAATTTTTAAAACAATAAAACGTATATATACCTATTTTAAATATATTTTTAAGTGCAATTTACTGCAATAGAACTTAACAGTATGTACCAGTAAAAAAAACACAAAATTAAATCTCTAAAATACGTTATAACATCAAATGTTAGGATATCAGGTGCACTGAAAGAAATATATGTTTGTTTTAGCAATGTATGTGGTTCATATATGGACTACCACATACATTGCTAAAACAAACATATATTATATTTAGTTTTAACATAATATGTTAAAACTAAATATAAAAATGGTTAAGGTAAATATATTTTATGTTTCATATATGGACTACCACATACATTGCTAAAACAAACATATATTTCTTTCAGTGTGACACAAATTACTAATTTCTAATGGTGGAATTGGAGATTGTATACTTTGCAGCAAATCTATCAGTGGAGATTTTCGACTTTGCACTAAATGTCATTTTTAAAATGGGATTTAAGGCAGGATTTAGCTCCTTTTGCAGCACATAAACTTTATCATCTTATATATAATTAGTTGAAGTACAGTCTCCGCCAAAAATCTAATTTTTGACCAAAAGTGGAGATTATATTATTATATTTAATATTGTAAATGCAAAAATTTCAAAAGCAAATCCTCGAATCGACATTTACAAGTTATACCTTTTTTGCGTAAAAATGGTGAGAAAATTGACATTTTTAATGAAAACATAAATAAGCGAAGGCGCGAAAAAGTTAAACTTGTGTTAATGTACCCAAAGTGCCACAAAAACACCCTCTACAATCTGCATCAAAGTTATTAAGAAATTTTAATTTTTCGACCAAAAAAACCCCCATCAAAAAATTTTACAAAAAATATTGATTAGAAAAATAAAAAATTAAATTTTAACTGAGATACCCTGTACGTATCTCGGTTACTATAAACTTTTGAACGAAGCTAAGTTTGGTAGAATCGTAATATTTTTACACAAGAAATCTGCAGTTTAACTGTCATTAGTTATGGCCGAGGATATGAGATGTCTGGGTGATATATTAGCAAAATTGGTGAGAACTTTATCGAGTACCGTAAACACGGGTGGCTTTAGCTTACTTTCAAACTTAAGCTTACATTTTTTGTGGTTTTTTAACAATCATAAACATTAAATATTGTATAGCAAAATTTGAGTCTTGAGTTGCTTTCATAATATTACGTAGGGCTAAGTTTCAAAAATAAAAATTAAAAAGTGGGTGAGCACGTTACCCCATGGTTTTACCCGCAACTTTGCCTCACAGTGTATTTTTCGTATAAAATTAACTCAATTTTTCATTTAATTTTTATTAGACAAATGTCAGCAACGATTGCAAGGGATTACCGATAAAAAAAATAAAATATCGACCTGTAATTAACCAAGGATCATTCTAAAGAATTGCGCCTGAAATAGAAATTATACCTCGTGTATTTCTAAGACTTCTGCACTGATGCAATATAAACAATTTTAAAGTGTGATAAATCCCATTTATTTTTTTAAAACACTGATTTTCCTGTAATATAAACTCAATGGAATCGCTCAATTGACAGGTTTAGATCAACAAATTATAAATGTTATCGAAAAGAATTTTCATAAAAAGGTTAAAGTCACCCGCGGGGTGCAAAGCCACCCGTGTTTACGGTAACTATAGTTACTAGTATACTTTTCAATTTAAATTAAGTAACACAATTTAAATCCATTATTTTAATATAAATGTAGGGATTGTTTTTAAGCTATCTCTTTAATTGTCTAAAATGGCTTTTTTGTCCAAGTGTCCTCATTTGTAAATAATTTTTAGTGCCTTTAAAGTACACTTTAATTAAAATAAAAGTGGTATACAAACGTTTATTATTAATCCTAAACAAAATAGAAATATAATTTAAAATATTTTTCAATTTTTAAAATAATTTTATTAATTATTGAATGTTGGTTTTTTAATCCCGGCGCATTCGCCATTTTTGCAACTTTTATTGTTAATCTTTCATAAGTATTATTTATTATTTAAATGTTTATTAGTGTTACAAATAATTAATGGCGCATTAAATTTTCTAGTATTTCCGCATTTTAATTGTTTCCTTAACTACTGATGTTAGATTGCTAAGCTTAAATTGAGGAAACTGTTAATCTGATAATTTTCTGCACACAAACCTTATCGGGAGTATTGAGTAGTTCGGTGATGACCTGTACAAAGGCATCTATGGTCATATGCCTGGCGGCATACTCGTCAGTGTAGTAGCAAAGAGTGGTGAATTCCGGTCGCGACAGCAAAATGCGCGCCTTCTCCTCCACCATTTGTAACGCAGCCGCCCATTTGCGGGTCGTTTGAGCGGCCCTACTCCTAGAAAAAAATAGTATTCATTATTTTGATTTATTTATTAATAGTTTTTTAATGTGTGTATATTGGGTCAACTTGGTTTATCAATTGCGATATGCGAAAATGGCCAATCACCTAGTCACAGAACTTTATTTCTAATGTGTTTTGCACCAGGCACCGACAGCAGCCCGTGTCAGTGCCTTTTGGTTTTTGTGCCTAAAGAAGTAGGTACATTACTTTTATTTTTGATGATGAATGAAAGAAAATGAATTTTGTTGTAGATACAAATGAATTTTGTTGTAGATACTCATGGCAATTATACATTATGTGACTTAACTGTGTATTGCATTTATTGATTTTTTTTTTCATAGCAGTACACATTGAATGCGGTAGTTCCAAAGTTGGTAAAAAAAGTATAAATATTAAAAAGAATTGGGCTTAGCACAGAACCCTGTGGGAGGCCGTTGGAAACCAATTCATTTTTATGTTTAATATAAATTTCTTGATCTAAAAAGAGGTTAATAATGTTTCTGGCACTTGATTGGGGTATATTTATTCGAATTAATTTTTCAGTGAGATTATGTGAATTTACATTATCATGTCAAGAAATATAGATCCAAAGTAGTAGTGTTTTAAATGTCTAAGACAAGGTGTGTATTTTTGTATCGAGAAAATGAAATAATTTTTACATTTAGTATTATTTTACAATAATTATTGCTCTTAAGAGCACTTTATTTTAACGATTGTATGATATTTCACAACTGTCATCTAACTTAAAACTAACTTTGGCCCGTGACTAAAAGGCCATAAAGCCACAATTTGTCAATGTGTATTTAAAAGGTCACTTAGTGTCATAGAAACATGTACGATAATGGGCGTTTTAAAGGTGGAAGTGGAAATTTAAATTGTATTATCTTACCCTGGACTACATAAATCCCAGTCTCTATCATAGGCAGTACATGAGTGTGGAACCTTTCCTACGTCCCGTACAAGCAGTGACATTCTCTTGTGGTACTTTAGTTGAGCTACCGCTTCGTCATGTGTTACGTCCATAAACGACTGTCCGTTTACTTCTAATATTTGATCTCCAACCTGGAATTACAAAAAAATTGTATTAAAACCAATAACCATTCATTAAAATATAAGTGTATCTCAATTTTAAGGTTTAATTAAATGAGAAAACTGTTTACAACATTTTTATTTTTCAAAGGTATAATGGTAATAAAATGGTTACAAAACAAATTATCAGAAATAAGGTTTTTTGTTTTCGGGATTATTTTATAAAAATGTACCGATACTAGCGTTTCATTGTCCGTTTTTATAATTTAATTTATGTACTTCTACACTGAAAAAAATAAGCTGAAAAAAATATTATATCTTTATGCACTTTAAATTCAAGCAATGGTTTTCGTACGTTTACTTAACCATCTAAAAATGTCAAATTGTATTGTTTAATTAAACAACAAATATTAGTTAAGCCTGACTTATAGATTGCCTTCCTTCCTTCCTTCCTTCCTCCCGTAGAAGATGAACATTACGTAATTGTTGCCATTAACATTTCCCGTGTAGGAATTTTTAATACTTTGTGATAATATTTTGCAATTATAGTAATAAAAAAAATCAAAGAATAAAATATTTTCTTAACAAAATCATATTTGAAGTTATTTTAATATTTTAAAGTATCAATAATTGTAAAGTTTAATTAAAATTAATAACGGGCAATGTTAATGGTAACAATTACGTCAAAAATGTTTATTTAAATTGTAGTGCCAGTTATAGATTTCCGTACCGTGAGTACGGCATTCCTTCCTCCCGTAGAAATTTTTAAGTTTTATCTTTCATCGTAAAGGTCTTTGACATGACCAATCACAGTGTTTGTTATTGACATGCGCTGTAGGGTGACAGCGCGTAATTATAAAATATTTAAAATACATGATTCTTTAGTTTATTAAATAATTTGTGTCTCTAAATAGGATATTTAGATATTGTTAATGATCAATGTCTTTCATTTTTAGATACGTTGCTTTGTAAAACCCCATAGTTTCCCGGTCTTGGTAAAGTGGACGAGTCTTCCAACGTCTTGTTTTATATTTTTTTCATTATACTGCCCTACTATGGAAAAAGGCAGTAACTACAAATGCGTTTTCTTGTGCTATGATAAAGCTACGGACATTTTGTATCGTAATTCAACAAAGAAATGCAGTAAACTATCTTTTAAGTTAAATAAATCAGTTAAATACCTACTGCTTTTTATAAAAATGTAGTTTATGCTAATTTCCCACAAATTTCTTGTTTAGCAGTTACTGCCTTTCTCCATAGTTGGGCAGTATACAACAAGCTGCCTGGGCAATTAAAATTGTGATCACTGCACTAATATTTAAATGATTATCTTTCATATTTACACACAATGGGTAAAACGCAAAATATAAACAAAAATAAATGTCAACCTTTTTAGGTGTCATCGCGCATGGTTACGGAATTTTACACGGAAATCTATAAATTGACTTTTTACAAGACGCACAAATCGTACGGGCACGACTACGGGAGGAAGGAAGGAAGGCAATCTATAAGTCAGGCTTTAAATGAACAAAATTAGAATATTTGTTCTAATCTGCTAATCTAGTTAATTAAACATTCTTAAAATGTCCAGGTAACCTTTTTAGCATATTCACTTAACACCAATAAAATGTTAAATTAAAATAATTTGCGCTAATGTTGGGTTAATTGGGTTGAGTTAACATTCTAAAAATGTAAAAGTAACATTCTTTAAAGGTTGGTATTCAAAAAAAAAAATTATGGAATTAATATAAAGAGAAAGAATTGAACCTTCCCTCGCCAGAGTTTTTGTTTTAAGTGCGTTCCACCTACTTCAATTTGAAGTAGGTATTTGAAGACTTCAAATACCTACCGACAGAGCCTGTGTTCCGAAATTTACTCCCATTACTGTCAGTAATTTTACTGTCAGTAGCGGAAAAGGACCGTTCCGTAATTTATTCAGTACTGACGCACAGTGAAATTGGAACGCACCTCAGTAGCAGCAGAAAGTTACGCAAGGTTATGATTTGTGATTTACTGACAATTGACAAACTTTACTTTCGGCACAGCAGAGAACATAAATAAAAAATAAATATAACAGTTATAAGAAATATAATGTTTGGTTTATGGCAGAGAAATATGGAAAATTTAATGTTATCGTCGTCCGCGTCGAAAAATGTATATAGGAATAGGAAATATAAAATTTAACTGACACCACAACAATAAGCCAAATACCAAAAATTACTCTTAAATTCGTCCGCTGAATACAAATATATAACATTTTCTAGGTACTACCCATAGGTAGTACTATAGTAGGTAGTTTCATATTCTGGGTCTTCGTATGCGTACTCCCCGCCGACCTGCCTTCGTCACTGCTGCTTGTACTGTCAAGTAATATTTTATCAATAAATATTGAAATAATTAGTCCTATAGGTATTCACCAAATACCATTATATGATAATATCATAATTAATATTATAATTTATATCCTTCACTTTATTTCACCAAATACCATTATATTATAATATCATAATTATTATTATAATTTATATCCTTCACTTCATTTGACAGCTATTTTTTGTTTAAAAGTTTGGTTATCTGTTTTACTGGAGTCACAGCACCTCTCTGTCCCCAGTTGTTTCAGTAAAATTAATCTGCCGTACATTTTTAAAAGGATAGTATTTACCACTGAGCTCAGTAACTGAAAGTGGATTTCGGAATGCGTTTTCAGTACCGACAGTACCAGCGCCGTAGCAACAACCCAACGGGCCCGGGTTCAAGGCTATACCCACGGGCCTCTAGGTGTTTTTTTTGTACTAATTAATTTTTTTTTCTACTCCCACCTTTAAAACGCCCTTTATCGTACATGTTTCCATGACACTAAGTGACCTTTTAAATACACATTGACAAGTTGTGGCTTTACAGCGCTTTAGTCACGGGCTGAAGTTAGCAACAGGTTTTTAGTCACGGGCTGAAGTTAGTTTTAAGTTAGTTGACAGTTGTCAAATGTCATACAATCGTTAAAATAAAGTGCCTTTCTTGTAAAATAATACTTAATGTGAAAATTATTTTATTATCTCAATACAAAAATACAAAAATATTAAATAGTTTCTCAACGCCAATATTTGAAAAGTTTATATGAACATTGTACTGACCTTTTAATTTCGCCGGCAGTAAACTATAACTTAAATTCGGGCACGGACTCTACTGTAAAGTCCTCATAAAACATTTTCTTTACTTTCACTGTGAAATACATTTCGATTTATAACCTTTATAATTGTGTTTATAAAATCTAAAAATGTGACATTTGACAGTTTCCCCTGTTGTTTCATAGAAAAACATTTTTGAAAAGCCATTAATTGATAGGGAAGTCTAAAATATCATCTTCATATATTTCACGAATGTTTTCCGCCATTTGGTATACTTCTGTATCAGTAGAATTTAACAGAACTTCTGTTTCCAAAATACTGAAGTTAGTGGCTATTTAAATAAACAGCCATACCCCTGGACTTGCGTCTATATCCCAAACCTATTCCCTGTCATTTTGGTTATGCAGGTACACTGCATTGTGGCACAATTTGTGCCATACCAAACTAACCCAACCTTAACAAACCATTTACTTGATGTAATATTGGCCTCTTTTTTATATCTAAAAATTCATTCCGAAGTTTGCTTATGTCATTTAACACATTTTTTAAAAGTTTACTAGATTTTTGAATATCTTGCTACTGATTTTGTCGATTTAAAATGTTAGATTGTAAAATAATCAAAAACACTGTTTCAAAGTCCTCTAATGTACTTTAAAATCCTTTCGATTCGTCTATTTCAGCCTTATTATTGGATGTTAAAATAATTTTTGACAAGGCCTTAAGAACATGAAGATACCTAAAATGTAGGGCTTTATTGCATCATTGCGTGAAGAAGAACGGGTTGTTGATAGTTTTTTAAGTTTTAATTTTGACTCGCTTTTACATGATTCAAGCAAAAATTATTATTATTATTATTATTGGTGGTCTTTTACTATTTACTAAGCCTTAAGCCATTATTATAAATAAATGCCCTGTAAATGTTGAAATATATTTTTAAAAAATTAATCCAAATATTTGAAAAAAAAATTGTTATTCCAATCGCTGGCCGCGGGCCCCTTGAGCTTGCGGGCCTGGTTCCACCGAACCCACGGAACCATTGTAGCTACGGCACTGGACAGTACTGACAGTAAATTTACTCGAGCAGAATATGCTGTATTCCAAACTAGTTACAGAATATACTATTCCTGTGCACTATCCAGGAAATATTGATTTTCTTTGATCTATACTTATTATCACAGAGGTATTCTAAAATAGTAGGTATATTAAAGAACTTATGCTATAAGACGTCATTTTTTTGAATGGGGATAATTTACAAAACGAAGGAGCGAGATTTGTAATGGACGAGTTCGAGAAAATGTCTTATAAGTTATATTTGCGTAACGTACTGTTACCATGTAGACAATACTAAACCTAATTGCGTACCGTAATGTGCTTATATTATAATGGTAAACAAATATAAAAATAATAACGTTTAAAGCAACATTAATTCCGTTTAAACATAGTTTTAACCGAAATCCAAAATTTACCATATATTAATAATAGAAACTGCCTATCTATGCCAAAATGGTTTTGTCGATGAAATTCACGGTTAGTTTTAAATAGGATCATATTGTACTTCACGGTTGAAATAATTTTATCGCCCGCTAGAAGCATTAAAATTATTTGTGTGCCAACATAACAAAACAAAAACAATGTCTATGCATTAAGCTCTTTAGCAAAATGAAATATAGGAAAATAAAAACCATTACTCAGTAAACCTCATTCAGTGTTTATAACAATTTTGATTAAAACTTTATATAAGTGTTTATATTGTTTATTAATTAAAAAAATATAGCTAACCAAATCAATTTTTTATTAAATTTAATTTCAATTTATACATAAATCTATTGTGACGTACAACTAAATTATCCAATACGGTACGTTCCTTAATTACCGGAATGAGCATTTTTTAAAGTCGATGGCAGGTTAATTAGGTGCTGGTGTTGTATACTCGGCACCTTTGAACCTTTGAATAGGTTACCGTATGGAATAAATTTAAATATCAATAACTTAGAAAAATATAAAATCAATTGTATTGATTGATATTTTTACAATACGTACAATATCGTACAAAAAAAGCATTTAGTTGCGACTTCTGGCTTATCTCCTAAAAAGTAATTTTAAAGTGCAAAACGTTTTTTTTTCCTTAAGATAAACATTAAGTATTTTGGTGGTGACAAGTCTTTACTAAGGATTCCTTATCGTAAAACTTTGTCCAAAGCAGTAAAAAACACAAAGCATTTAGAAATTTGTAAAAATGTGTAAATGTAATTTTTAAAGGAATTAAAAACAACCTTTTTTCGAGGAAAATTATCGATAATTTTATTTTGTCAAAAACAAATCGGTTTGTTTTAGATTAAATAGATAACAAACGAATTCGACATTTTTATTGCAACAGTAAAAAAATCCGACTATACTGGTCGCATCGATTTGTTGTTAAAAGTTCGTTCTTACGCCCACGCTCAAACTCATCTTGTCCTTCCTGATTTATAAATAGAAAATCATTTGTATTTTTAGCTAATAAACTTTAAAAGTTAATTAACAAACAAGCTTGATTATCTATTGATAATGTGATTTCTGGAAAACTTTATTTTAAAATTCACCAAGGAAAATAACGAAATTAAAAACCTTGAATAAATTATATTTTTTTTCAAGCGGCCGGCCATGATATACAACCTTATATGCCTGTATAGAGATAGTTAAAGTGCGTCTTTTTCATTAGCGGCAGACAAAAAACTCAAAAAAGCCTAGGGATAGAAGTAAATCCATAGGTGTCCCAATAGACGTCAAATAATAAAATTAATTTAGCATATCATACAAAGCAATCACGATGTATTAATTATATTAATTATAATCGCACGGAATATTTAGGGATTATTTATTAAATTTTAATTAAACGAAATAAAGAACAACTAGTTTATTAGTATAATATTATGATGATAGACGAGTCGCCAATGTCGGAACTCCAAACAAATGTCAGTACGTCAAAATTAATTCAAGCGAGACATTTTGACAGAGCAGTGTTTATTTTTAGTTTAGGCTTTGTTATCTATGGTTTAGGATATTTATCGGCATTGTAAGTAAGGGTTATAAGTTTTTTTAGTTTTTATCAATAATTTCTAATGCTTTTAGCCAAAATTTTATACCACATGAGTTATGAGTAGATAAAATAATTCTATTTCTTATCCTATTTATATTACGCCCTTGAAAAAAAAATTGTATATGTTATTTGGAGTAGAAGCTCTTTTTGTGCTTCGTACAGTTGCCAGCCTCAGCTACGCTTCGGCCGTCAATCTCTGTACTCACCACAAAAAGAGTCACTTCTACTCCTTATGACATAATCTACTATTAAACCCTGTTTTTTACATAATATGTTTTAAAAATTGTATTATAAAAACAAATAAAACAATTTAAAATAATAGTTTATGATGTATCAAATTTCATAAACGTCATTTTAATTACGAGTTTTATTAGGCACGAGCAAAGCTTGCGAGCAAGGGTTTAATAAAAACGAGCATCTAGAGAAGTTTATAAAACGAGTTGCAGTATACTTTATCTATGACGAACAGGAATAAGACTTTAAAGACAATTTTTATTTCGCAATTTATAATAAAGCTAACTGACTAAAACGCCATAAAGTCACAGCTCGTCAATGTGGCAGTAGATAAAATAAATTATTTTTTTACAGAAAATCGTAGGTTTAAACGTTAAATTTACTTTAAAAGATAAAGTGCAATTGGTTTTGACTTCTCGCTTATCTCTCACAAAGGCATTTTAAAGTGCCAGACATTTTTCTTTTCTTCAGGATGGACATTGAATGTTCTGGTTTGTGACAATTCCTGATAAAGTCTTAACTAAGGATTCCTTTTACCAAAAATCAATGATTTGCAGAGTTTACTCTATCCAAAACAGATAAGACCATAAATAAAAATACAACAAAGCATATAAATTTTTCGAAAAAGAAAAAAATGTGAACACATTGGTGATTGAATTTTATTTTGTGAAAAAACAAGTTTGTTTTAGATTGAATCAATAACGAACCAATGCAAAATAAATTTCAATAATATAGTATAGAAATCTGACTGCCTTTCTTTGTCAAAAAATAGAATTAATAAAAACCATTTAAGGTGGATATTTGAATTAAAGCCAATTTAATTTTTATTCGAAAATCAAATACTAGAGGACCCAACAAAATATCCAACAACACTTTGACAGGTGACAAACTACAGTTAAAAGGTGACAGTTGAAAGGTAAAAAAAAAATAATTATTAAATTTATACTCAGTTTAGGGCATAACCCGCAAGAGATTTAAAAAAAAAAGAAAAACTAAGTGGAATTAGAATATACAAAAACATATTACCATCGGGATTTAGATTTTTGTAAGCTTGATGGAGGATTACGTAACCTAGAATAAATTTATAGAAATTATTGTTTTTATGGCTTTATGTAAATTAGAACACAAACAAAATTAAGGGCAAAACTGTTCAACTTTTACTAGGTTAGGAAATAATTAATTTTTATTATAAAAAAGTTATCCTCAGGGACGGAAGACTCAAAACACAAGAAGAAACGATACCTTTGCAACAACATAACCAAATCAACTTTTGTCTGTTTTGACTATTAAAACTTGGTGTGACTTAGGGCCGTATGCAGAAACGTTGATTTATTTATATCAACTGATTTAGGTTTTTGCACGACATGGCAACGCAGTATTTTTCTTTAAAAACTGTTGTTTTATAAAATAAATTGGGTAATTATCTTTCAACGTTTATATTTTCCCTAAAAAGTCGATTTCTATCCATTGACATTTTAAATTATACATAAAACAATTAAAATGTCATCAAGATTTATTTGACATTTGTGACATTTGCTTTTAACCATAGACAATAATTTCGCTAATATAAGTCATGGTTTACTAGTTTTGTTTTTTGACCAATAAAATCATCTAAAATGTAAATCGGTTGATATAATTTATATCAGTCGTTGACGACTGATATACTATGTCAGTTTTTAAGAGTACATTTTTAAGAATTCATATTGGCGATTTTTTTAAACAAAATATAAGCACGGCACTGGATTCACCACCCCTCAAAACTATCCTATACTAAATTTTATTGAAAAATTTTAAGAAAAAAAAATGCACAAAAATAACTACAAAAATTTATTTTGTCAAGTTATCCATGAAAAAACATTGAAATAAAAATAAACTAATATTAACATGGTACTATTACTAAAAGTTTAATTTTATTTCAATGTTTTTTCATGGATAACTTGACAAAATAAATTTTTGTAGTTATTATTCTGCATTTTTTTTCTTAAATTTTTTTAATAAAATTTAGTTTAGGGGTAGTGAATCCAGTGCCGTGCTTAGATTTTGTTTAAAAAAATCGGTAATATAAATTCTTAAAACTTTACTCTTAAAAACTGACATAGTAGGCCTTGTATTTTGTATTAATATGGCGTCTTTTGCTCCAAAAATACAGTTTATCAAGATCTACAGTTTAAAACAAATCCGGTTAAAATCGCACAATAAATAAAGATTTTACAGGGGTGAGTCGCAAACAAATGGGTCACACTGTACATGAAAAATTAATTCAGAAGGTAAACATACATATAACAAAAATATAATTAAAAATAACATTTTTTTAAATATAAAATTACTACCATGTTAATTATATTAAATATCTTTGCCGTTTTTTATCTGATTGAAAAGCTAAGTGCTTGAAATCAATTGATTTACAACTTTCTTTTGTTTCATTGTAAAATAATTACCCTTAACATTGAACTTGGGTGAAAATATTTATTGATTATTGATTACTAAAATCATACCTACCTTCCATAAATGTTTACATTTTTATAATACCTAAATAATTAAAAAACTATTAATAAATAATAAGGAATATAAAATAAAGCCAAAATTTATAAGACAAATATTTAAATACTTTTGAAGGATTTTAAATTTTAGACCATGTTCAACATATTTTTTGCTTTTAAATTTTTCAATTATGTGCTTGCTCTTCAAATATAAACAGTTGGTTTTGGATAAAGGTCTTAACAAAGTAGAGGGGATTATTTAAGCCGTAATTTTCGTTTTTCAAACCTTCGAATGCAAATTTACTTATACCAGAACACATTGCAAACTGCGAACATAACCAATTGTGTATGTTTTATATTGCCGCAATCCTCTTCAAACACAGTTTTTGTCAATAACTTTTGTTAAAAACTAAAGGATGCATGTTTTATTATCTCTCAAAGAGACATTTTAAAGAGCAGGGCGTTTTTATTTTCTTCAGGATGGGCATTATATAAGATTTAATCAATGATTATAGGTAACTAAAAGTATAACAAAAAAATGTAGAATTTAAAATAAAAATTGTAGATAAAAAACATGTTTTTACTTTTATAGGGGGATAATTTGATAACATTCTATTTTCGTTGAAATGTTCAGCACTTCATCGAATTTTATTTTGTGAAAAACAAGTCGGTTTGTTTTAGATTGAATCAATAACAAACCAATCCGACACAATTTTCATTGCAATATTGAAAAAGTCCGTATGCTTTTAGGTCGCATTGATTTGTTTTTAAAGTGTCTTTATATGACTACACTCAAACCAATCTTGTCCTTTTTGATTTATTAATAGAAAATCGTTTACTTTACTATATTTTACCCCATTGATTACGTACATTATTATCTGGTAATTAATTTAAAACCTCGATTACTTTTTACCGTCAAAAACAATGTTATATTATTTTTATGTAGAGTTTAGCTTACCATTAGACCGGCTCTGTCAGCTACGGAATCCTTATCGACCCCGGTAATAAAAATACCTAAATTATATTCTACTCCACCTCTGATCATAAGCCCCAGACTTTGACCAGGTTCTATGCACAAATCCACCTGAAACAAAAAATATCAGATGGTTTATTGTAAATTAATAATCAATTTTTTTTTAAAAAGGTAATTACGAGTTTAATTAAATTTCTTGAAAGTGTCCAAGTTTTTAATTATTTAGTGAACATTCTTTAAAAATTCCTAATTTCAACTGTAAATATCCTTTAATTTCGGAAATGGCGAATGGGCCGATATTAATAAATTAATAGGTACCTTTTTAAATACAATAAATTTTTGCAACCAATAAAACTAAAATCTATTTTAACCAAACCAAATAATTGTAATAAAATTCCTGAGAATAAACCAGTAAACAAAGTGGAACATTTTTATTTTTAATTCGAAAATACTGTTGTAAATGTAATTTAAAAATAACAGCTTTAATATTAATATGTTATAAAGCAACAAAATAAGTAAAGCTACAAAATTGTGTAATTTTATTAAAATGTGACAAAACTATTCTTGAAACATTACTTTAAACTTTTAAAATTGTCGAATTTTTACTAAAAGAGCTATTTTATTTTGTTAAAAATGGGGGTTTTATTATTAAAATAAATAAATTATTATTATTTTTTCGGTTAAATTAGGACTCAGCTTCATAACCAATGATCCTTGGTTTAAGTATTTGATTACAAAAATATATATGCGAATTTGAATGTTTTCATACAGAAAAAATCGTTTTTTCACAATATCTCAAAATCAATGTAGATAACTGTTATTACAGGTTAAAAACTATGAAAAAATGTCGTAAACTCAAAAATTTTAGTGTAAATTTAGGACAAAATGAATTTTGCAATATTCACAATACTGCAAAACTGCAATAATAAACGATAAGGTTAGTATCCATCAATTCGCCTTTAAGGCGTTACCACAAAATATACAAATGTGTAGAAATTGCCACCAAACTACAACATATAAATTTTTAAACATTTTTTTATAGTGACTAAATATCCTAAACCTTCTTAAAAGTTAATTTTATGAAAATATGGCTTTCGTTTTACTAGTGTTACCTTATTTCTATTGAAATACATATACTACGTCTACAATAATCTAAAACTTTCTTTGCTCGGCTGTGGGAATATAGTTATTTAATGATAATATAATAAATAAAATTAGTTAAAATAAATCATTATTATTTTCTTATTTCGTGACAATATTTTGAATTATTTTTCGACATTGTAAGTTTATTTTTATGTAAATTTCATTCTTATTTCATTAAATTTTTTTTTCTTGTATAGTATAAATATACAGGGTGTCTATTTAAAAACGAGCAATGCTCTATAAGTCTCAAAAATTTTCCAAAATGATCTTTACTAAGCAGCCCCTGGGTATGTAGCCACCCCAAACCAATTTTTTTTTAATGGCGACGCTTTTTTTGTGATACCTCATTGAAAAGCTCTTGAAAATTGCTATTTAACAGTACTAAACAAAATACTTTTTAATAGTTTAATTTTAGAAAAATACTCAAAATAATTTTTATAATTTACATCAATTTTTTGGTTGTCGTAAAAACATAAGTAAAAAACGACAGAACAAAATAATTCTTTTTTAGTTTAGAGACAAACTTTTTAGGTCCAGGCTTATATTGCTCGGTTTTTAAATAGACATGTATATCTTTTTCACCGTAAATACATTTTAAAAGAGATAAATATTAATTTGCCAAAGCTCATACTGGCTTTGGGTTGACAAATGAAATACTGCTCAAAGCTGTGGAAAGATAGATTCAGCGTAATGGCTAAATGATTCGGAAAATTACTTTTGGTGGTTAAAATACTACCCTACAAATGTAGCAATGTTGCTTTTATCACATCAAACAAAAATATTATACAAAAATAATAACGTGAAATTGATTTCTATTTAGGTTTAATACTACTTACACAAAATATATTTTACAAAGGATTATTTTAATATAATTGGCATTAAAACAGTTATATTGTTTTTTTACATTACAAAAGTCCCTTTCAAATATCAAATCATCCCATTTAAATTATAAAACAATACCCTAAATAATTGACAAACAGCATTAGCCTGATTTTGAATAAAATCCAATGTCATCGAACAAACTTTTAAAAGCCTAACAAAGAATTCTCCAAACCGTTTAGTGGAAGTGGAGTACCCTCGTTTATGGCATTAAGGGGTATGTTTATTAAATTTGTTTAATGGCGTCAACCCAGAGGAAAAATTACCCGTTAAATTGTATTTATAAGAGGTCGACGTTGCGATTTTTAGGATTAAATTTAAACGAGTTTAAATTAACTTTAAATGTATACTTACGAGGTATGTTCAGAAAACATCGGAAATTTTCGTTTTTTGAAAAAAATATTTATTTATTCGTCTACATTAATGTTGTCGCCTTCAAAATAGTCCCCATTGAATATTATGCACATGTGTCAGCTCTTCTTCCAATACTCGAAACACTTCTAAAACTCGATCTTTGGGATAGCCTTTAGTTCTTTCTATGCTTGCAAAACGACAGCCCTTTAAGGTTCTCTTTATTTTTGGGAATAGGAAAAAGTCAGACAGAGGCATGTCTGGCGAATATGGAGGCTGAGGCATCATTAAAGTTTTTGGCCAAAAATGTTGTTCAAAATTTAACAATTTTGGAACAAATTTTGCTGCCACGCGTTTCATACCCAAAACATTCGAAAAAATTTCATGGGATGAGCCAATCGATATACCAACATCATCAGCGACTTCTCTGATGGTTTTATAACCATTTCTTCCACTTTTTTCATGTTTTTATCGGTTGTTAATGTGCTTGTGGGTTCGGGGCGTTCGTCATCTTCAACGTCTTCACGGCCATCTTGGAAACTCTTATACTACTTGTAAACTCTTGTTTCACTTATAGAAGACTCACTATAGGCCTTTGTTAACATTTCACAGAATTTATTTCATTTTTTAAGCAAAATTGGATATAAATTCTTTGATCCATTTCTAGCGAACGAACGAAAATCGCCGAGCTCATAAAACACGTCTAACCTTAGCGGCTGCCACAGACAAAGTAAACAATGAAAACAGCTAAAGTTTACCAACATAATAAAGAAAATTTTATGACAACCGGACCCTCCTAACCCGCGAAATTTAACAATTCCCGTTATTTTCTGAACACACCTCGTATAAGTAATATGGTTTAATGAAATAAATTTTAATTTTTTAAGTTTATAAAAAAGACAACTATTTTTTATCGGCTGGTTCAAGTCATAAATAAACAAATTCAATTTTTGTTCAGCTTTTTTCATATTTTTATATAAAAATTTTTCATGCTTTAAATTTTTTTCTGGTATTTTAAGATAATTTTTTTTTATGAAAATTTCACACCAGTACTTTTTAACCAATCAAAATGGGTTTTTTAACAGGTGACCATCGCAAATTGCTGGGCGATTATCGAAATTCATAATGGATTATTGATTATCTAAAATAATCGATTTTTTCGATTATTTGATTAATCGATTATTGATTATTCGATTCTTTGATTAATCGATTATTGATTTAAATATTTTTTGATTAATCGATTATTTGAATAATCGATTATTTTATTAATCGATTATTTGATTAATCAATTACTGATTAATCGAATAAATTATTAATTGTCTTGTTTTTTAATACTTATGACCTATATTATGCATTTGTTTTATAAATTTTTGTCTACCTTTGACAGAGTACACATTTGTACACCGACTTTAATAATATTGGAGTATATTGTTAAGGAGATTTGGAGAATACTGTTTATACTGTGCACATCATTTAATATATACAGGGTTAGCCAAAAATTGCTTCTTTTAATAAAGCAAAAGCGTAAATTCATGATTTTGGCATAACACGCAAAAAAGATATATACCCACCCATGTTTTTTTAGATATTTTGTGTTTTGTGCATTATGCTTTCTACTATATAAAAACGTGATTTTTGGCTAATCCTGTATAAATCTAATGATGTGCTCAGTATGAAAACAGTATTCTCCAAGTCTCGTTAACAATATACTCCAATATTATAAAAATTGGTGTACAAATGTGTACTCTGTCAAAGGTAAGATAAACAAAAATTAAAAAAAAAATTAAGAATTTTCAAAAAAGTTCGAAAAGAGGAGCAGCTAGGATTTTGTTAAATATCATTTTAAAGTTACCAAAGGGTCCCGAACAAGAAACTGCAATCAATAAAAATCGGTGTACAAATCTGTACTCTGGCAAAGGTAGACTTTGCGATAAACAAATAATTAAAAAAAAATGATTTTTTAACAAATTTAAAGAGAAGCAGTTAGAATTTTGGTAAATACCGTTTTTAAATCTCCAAAGAGTGCCGATCAAAAAACTTTAACCAGTTTTTCGTTCAAAATTGAAAACTTCTAAAAAGCCTAAATTAAACAACATTTTAAATATTCTCTAAGCGTTATTTTATTTAATTTTATTAAAAATCTATTTTAAAAAAAAAATGGGGATACATCTGTTTTGCTTGTTATGCCAATCATGAATTTACGCTTTTGCTTTATTAAAATTAAGCGATTTTTGGTCCACCCTGTATATATCAAATGATGTGAACATTATTAAAAAGTATTCTTTAAGTCTCCTCAATAATATACTCTAATTTTATAAAGATCGGTGTACAAATGTGTACTCTGTGAAAGGTAGACTTTGAAATAAACAAAAATTTAAAAAAAAAATCATAAATTTTGAAAAAAGGATCAGCTAGGATTTTGGTAAATATCATTTTTAATTCACCAAAGGGTCCCGAACAAGAAGCTGCAATCAGTTTTTGGCGTCATTTTTATGTGACTTAATCTTCGTTCAGGGACACTGTGAGTACGCTTTCGTACTATAACATTTTTAAAAATTTGACACTAGTTATTTGCTAAATAAATATAAAATTTCTTTTTACCCTTCGTATGCTCCTGTCCTTGCTGGACGCTCGGCCATGGCCGTACCGTTGCTGCGGTACCTGTCCAGTCCTCGAGTACTCCATTGGTGGCGACACGGGCCGGCCGTGTCGGTCCATCCACGAGCATGTTTGCCGCATCTGCCACGTCGTGCCGCCGCCCATTCCGCCGCCGGAAGGCATCGTCGGTGATCGAACGGTCATGCTCAGTTTTCGACAAGATTTTAGCATCTAAAAAAATGTAAACAAATATTTATTTTAAATAATTAGATTTCATTGCTCAAATTAATAACACCACTATTATCTAATGGTAAATCCGTCAATAAAGATATTTATTTATTTATTTATTTATAACTACTCTCTATAAATGAATTAGTCAAAAAGGACTAATTACCACAGTTATAGGGTGTTTCAAAATAGAGCAATATTTTTTTTTTCTTCAAATTCATGTGATATTCTCGTCACATGCTAAAAAAAAATTCTGTCAAAATTTGAGTTCTTAATAATAATTTTAAAATTTCCATCATCGAATTTAAAGTTTTCCCATTGATTTAACATGAAAAAATAGGTTTTTAAGATTTATGTCGCCTGCATACTATGTAGCACTTTTTTTTGATAAACAATTACTGGTCCTTTTTAAGCATTAAATTATCTACAAAAAGTTTACAAAGTCCAGTTTGTAGATTCTACTCTTTCTTTTTTATTAATTTTGAAACCTATAAATTCTAAAAAAATGATATTTTTACATTTAGCGGCTAAAGTACTAATCGTAGAATAAAAAGTTAATAAGCAATCTTTTAATGCTCTACAAATTAGTTTTCACATACAGTTCAAAAGTTAGTGTCTAAAATCCTATTTTTATTATACTGCATAATATATCATTCACTGTAGGAAAAAAACTTTAGGGACAATTTTGCAGAAAACTCGAAGCTCTATAAATAACGTACCAATAACTTCAATAAACTATTTTTTCATGTTAAATCAAAGGGAAATTTAAAATTAATATTAAGAGCTCAAATTTTGACAGAATTTAGCATAAGTGACAAGAATTTCACATGAATTTAAAAAATTAAAATATTGCCTTATTTTGAAACACCCTAATGTTTAACCATGGGATACCATGGTATCCCCAACATTTAACAGCAAATTCTTACGTAAAATTATCCCCTGAATTTAAAAATACCGTAAATAATTATGAAAGTAGAGCAGTTTTTGAGATAGTCAATTCCATATTATTTGGAAAATTGACTATATCTCAAAAACTGTTATATTTTTCTAACTTTTTACAAAATTTTTGCATTCACCGCTAACTGTTCAGAATATAAATTGCTATTGACGAGAATTATTAGTGGCTGCTTTTTCGCTATGACAATTATTCATTTTTGACTAATTCATTTATAGAGAGTATCGAAAATTTTTCAAAACCTCATATTTGTGGGGACTCTTTGAAAAGTATTATAATACTTTCTAAGCGTATACGCTTTAGTTGAATAAAATTCAAATAATATAAATATATAATATATAATATATAATATATAATATATAATATATAATATATAATATATAATATATAATATATAATATATAATATATAATATATAATATATAATATATAATATATAATATATAATATATAATATATAATATACACTGTAAATACCAATGTTGTAATTTTACAGCAATAATTGTAGGTCATATATTGCCAGCAATTTACCCAGTAAATTTAAACCTGTCCTAAAAAAATACGGATTACCTGTAAATGTCTGAACATCTGTGTTTGTAATTTTACAGCAGTGTTTCTAGTATAATGTAAGTTATGATAATGGTAAAAACCCAGAAATAATTACTGTAAACTATACAGTGGCCCTGTAGAACTACTGTATTTTTGCTGCAAATTACACTTAAGAACTCTCTTCCTTTCTCTTAAAAATAGCTGTAATTTTAAATTGTTTCTTAAAACATTCTGGAAATGTACGACAAAATTAATAGATAAAAACAGAGATAATTGCTGTTTTCTTAACTTACTTTGTAAAATTACTGTAATTCTACCTTGATACTCCTTATGATTTTCTTTTTATTTGTAACAAAAATTGCTGTAATCTTATGAATATTTACAGCAAAACCAATGGTAATATTTTTCTGCTAATAATGTAGTAATAACTCGTTAAAAATACAGGTGGGCCATTACCACGTGAGTGGGACGATATATTGGTTTGTTTGAGATAGAAAAAAATCTTCTATCTCGTACAGAAACCAAGATATCGTCCCACCCATATTTTTAACTAGATATTACTACAATATTAGCAGAAAAATAGTACCATTACTTTTATTTAATGATAGGTATTAATTAAGTAAATAAAAATATGTTTTACAAAAAAACAAAATATATTTAAAAACGTATGAAAACGAAACGCGCATTATAACTATGTATAACTTAAACACCTTACGTGTTAAAATAAAAAAATAGGTTATATTCCCATTCAAAGGAAACACAATAGGGGCCCCTTAATTGTGCTTCCCATGTGCAGGAAATTTCCTAAAATATATTGTCACATTTTGCAATCGTGGTAATATAGTTTGATAATAGAATAATAATTATTTAAACTCCATAGTACATTGGACATCTCAGGAAACCAATAAAATTTGTTTTTTGAAATGCTGCAATCCTTGAATGGTTTAAGTGTATCTTAAAAGCTTCTGTGATTTCCGAATGTCGACAAAAGTTACTTATTTTAAATAAAACTGTTCTTTTTAAAATAAGTCGCAAAGAACATGTTTATTTTTGAATTTTTTGAATCTTTGTTGCATTCTAAAAGTATTTTATGTAAGTTCCACATACTACCATAAAATCAAAAATAAATATTTATTGTTTTTAAGAAATGTCTAATGTACCATCGAGTTTAAAATAACCTGTATGGGTTTACACATTTAAACATTTAAACTTATAAATATTAAATAAATAACAATTAAATATTTTAACAAAATAAAATAAATAACTATCAAAAAAAACAACACAAAAAAATAATTTGCATTTTCTGAACGTGGAACCATTATTAATTGCAATTTTTTTTATAAAAGAAATAACTTTTTTTTTCGAGCCTGCAACTTTTCTTGATTTTGTTCCAGAATCAGGGTGATCATTCATCACATATCTTTGGATCATTTCTAGGGTTGTGCTTACGTCCTTCGGAAATTTTATCCCAAAATTGAAGTAAAGGGCGAAGCACACATGGAATGCATCCGTAAAGGAAGAATAGCCCCTTCTTGCATCAATGAGTTCTTTTTCCATTGCTACATAGTACAACTTTTTATCATTTAAGTCTGAAACAACAGTACCTTATTAGTTGGACTGTATTAACTGATTTCAATGAATTTTTTGTAGGATAGATTAAGGATGTGCTATACCTAGATAAAATGTGCTATGGTGCTATAGCACATCCATTGACTACTATAGTAAATGTCGAGTCCTGCGTCGTCCTGCGCAGTTTCTTGGGTTATATCTTTAGTATTATTTATTAAAAAAGAATTCGGAGAGTGATTTTTAAAAAAATGGGTTCTTATTGCTGAAATTTCAAATATATGAAAAAGGGCACTTTAAAAATTCTTTTTTTTGAATGTGGTAATAAATATGAGATTTAAACACTTATACCTATGTAGATAAAGGTGGAAATTGTATTTTTTTATTAAATTAAATGAATGCCCACAAAAAGAACATCGAAACATGACAACAAAAATATAATGAATGCTTCTACTTACCAGTTCTGCCTACGAATCACAAACACTATATCTTAGTTTTATAATAACAAAATATTATATTAAAGCTTTAATAAATTATTAGATACTAATTAATACATGTAACGGGAGCTGCGACGCTGCACCTGTTGCATCATTCAATCACAATATGGTTGCGGTTCCCCTTCCTACGATAGGCGCGACGGGATTTCACAGCGATATTTTCTGTAAATTTCATGCCTTATTACAGGCGCCTGTAATTTTTGTAACTGCTAGTAAAAGTAACGGATTTTTACTAGCACATACATTAATATTTATGCAATATTAGTGATACGACATAAAAATAGTCCTAATTTTACAAAACTCCGAAATAGTCGGATTTATTTACTAATTTTTGTAAATTAACCTATCAGTATTGGTAAATTGTCCTTAAATATTACAATAAAATTTACTGTAAATTTACGGGCCAATTTTACAGTGTATAATATATAATATATAATATATAATATATAATATATAATATATAATATATAATATATAATATATAATATATAATATATAATATATAATATATAATATATAATATATAATATATCATATATAATATATAATTTATATTATTTTTCTTTGTTTCTTCTCGAGCAAAATTCATGTTACCAATGTAATTTATAAATGTTTAAATAAGGAAAGTCACAACAACAACGGAAATATTCATTATTTACCACATTCCATTATTAAAACAGTATGTATATTTTGATAACGTATGAATTTTTAAAATTGTGCAAACATTTTTTCCCAATATTTTTATATCAAAATTAATTAATAAAAAAAATATATTTACACTCTTATAAAAATCAGACTTGTTAACATGAGTGTCGTTTGTTAATTTTATTTTGAAAAATTTTAACATAATTTGTTGTAATTATTTTAACAAAGAAAAACATTTTACCGAAAGTTAATATGCAATTTTGTGAGCATTTTGTTAATGTCAAAGGTTACAGATTATTTTGTTATTCGAAAAAAGATGCCATCACTGGTTTTTAAACTAAAATTAGGGCATATAGTGAAGTGGGTTAAAGTTACGAAATACATCAGTAAGTTTTGTAGTAGAACTGATAATTATATTGTACCTAATTTCTTTTTAATTTAATGATTTTAGAATGGTGTGTTATTTAATTGTGTGTATGTTATTTTTGTGTTCATTTATGTTCTCTCTAAAAGTGAATTAGTCAAAAAGGAGTCATTTTCATAGCGAAAAAGCAGCCACTAATAATTCTCGTCAATAGCAATTTGTATCCCGAACAATTTCCATGTAAAATTGTTCCCTGAATCCGAAAAAGCCCTTATAAATTAACAAAGTGGAACAGTTTTTGAGATAAAGTAAATTTTTCAAATAATATGGAACTGATTATATCTAAAAATTGGCTGTTAAATGTTGGGGATACCATGGGTATCCTATGGTTAACCATGGTATAAGTGAAAAAGCAGCCACTAATAAC